CCCGCCCCCACTGGACCCCAGGGACAAGTCCACCAGCACTCCAGGTAGGAGGCTGGGTGGACATTTAAAAAAAAAAATTAAAATATAATAATTTGTGTGTCAGTGTGTGTGTGTGTCTGTGAGTATGTGTCAGTGAGTGTGTGTCAGTGTGTGTGTGTGTGTGTCAGTGTGTGTGTCAGTGAGTGAGTGTGTGAGTATGTGTCTGTGAGTCTGTGAGTGTGTGTCTGTGAGTATGTGTCTGTGAGTCTGTGAGTGTGTGTCTGTGAGTGTGTGAGTATGTGTCAGTGTGTGTCTGTGAGTGTGTCAGTGTGTGTCTGTGAGTGTGTGTCTGTGAGTGTGTGTCAGTGTGTGTCTGAGTGTGTGTCAGTGAGTGAGTGTGTGAGTATGTGTCTGTGAGTCTGTGAGTGTGTGTCTGTGAGTCTGTGAGTATGTGTCTGTGAGTCTGTGAGTATGTGTCTGTGAGTCTGTGAGTGTGTGTCTGTGAGTGTGTGAGTATGTGTCTGTGAGTGTGTGTGTCAGTGAGTGTGTGAGTATGTGTCAGTGTGTGTGTGTCAGTGAGTGTGTGTGTGTGTCTGTGAGTGTGTGAGTATGTGTGTGTTTCTGTGAGTGTGAGTGTGTGTGTCTGTGAATATATATATACGTATATGTATATATATGTGTGTGTATATATATATATATATATATACACACACACACACACACACGCGCGGCGTGTGTTTGTGCTTTAGGGTGCACACCCTAATGCAATAGGCTGCGCACGCCTATGCACACACACACACACTACAGCACCACTACACACATTACGCTCCAAATACACGCTAGATCCCTTACCCTATATGCACTCTTAATCCTCTACACACACACACACACACACAATCTTCTATACAAACTCTGGGTCCTTTACACACTAGATCTCTTACACACACACACACACTGCACCACCTACACACACACACACTATATTCCTTGTAAGGAAAGACATACATTCTCTAAACACACCCTCTCTACAACCCCTACACACACTACGTCACCTATACACACACACTACTGCCCGTATGCACACACTCGCTACATCCCCTATAACACTATGCCCCTATACACGCACTCTCTACAGCCCCTAGCAACACATATTACACCTATTTACACAATACCACACCACACTCTACACACAGGCAATCCCACAAGCAGGCGCCAAACACATGCACCATACACTTTCCTGGCCCTTTTGTCCTCTGGTATCCCACTTGTGGAGACACCAGAGACAATTTAAAAGCAAACACAGCGCAAGCATGTTATTACATTTGCTTGCGCTGCGCAGAACAAATACAGGGCCTTTTTCTAATGCCAGAGCTCTTCAGCGGGGCTCTGCGCATTGAACCAACATGCTCACTTTGAGAGGGGGCGTGCTTGTCATTAGTGATGACAAAACACACCCTCTCTGGCCCCGCCCCCTTCTTGGGGGGCCGCTCTAATTGAAAAATGCCCGGGCCTAATTTTTTTCCCAGTCCGGCCCTGATACCAGTAGCAATGGGTCTGAGTGAATAACTCAAGTTAAGAGTTGTGTCCCAATACTTTTGTCTATACAGTGTAGATAGAAAGATTGATAGCTGCAAAAACCATAAATCATAGTAATTAAATCAATAAAACATAATTTATTGCATTTTACTGTTAATGAGCATAGGTATCATATTAAAATATAAGGTAACATATTATGTAGCTAACATATGCATAAGACCTCTAAAACCATGTCTTTCAGCTTACTTGCCCTAAAAAAATCTAAGTTTCAGAGCAAAGTCTGCGTTTAGTGACTCCATACCTCATTGTACACAGCTCGTTAATTTATAGAGAAAAAACAAAACATTTCTGTATTGACTTCCTGTCTAACGAGTGCCCATTTTCCATGTCTTTTAAGATTCCATTATTCTTTTTCCCCTATTCTCTTATTCATCTCTTAGACTGACTTTGATGTTCATTACTCTGTACTTACCATTTACCTCCTTGTTAATCACTTCAGCATTATACATCCACCCATGCATACAAAGTCTGGATTTTTAGATTATTTTAATATAAAGGTTTTTATATCACATATGTGATATATTACGTATCATTAAATATGAACCTTATAATCAGTTTATAAAATGACAACTTATTTGACAGAGTTTAACACAAATTTGGTTTCCATATACATAAACTAAATACAGAGGAAGTGTTAATTCTCCATACTGTGGAATGTTATTAATATACCTGACAAATGTCATGACTTGTTTGATTCATGTGGTCACAGAACGTGACAGAACAGCTTTAAACCATATAATTCTTACACCAATTATAGAGCATAAAGGTCTCCTGTCACTGTGTCCCTTCTAAAATCATTGCAACTCAAATACTGGCCTCTCATCCTATGAGTTGTGCATGCCTAATGTGCACACCACGTACATACTCCCCTCCACCCCCCTCCAGTCTGAAAACATTACTGCGCAAATGCTCAGTCAAAAACGCAACCATTCTCTAAACAACAGCAGTATTCACAAAACTGTGAATGGGACTGTGAGTAAACTCATAGCAGCTGTGCTATAGTTGTAATCAGCTTATTGAGGAGTTCCACTAAGTCAAACATGATGCATTCCCCAAACTGACCTGGATCCAGAGTAATGTCCCCAGTAAGCACAAAACGTGAACATTATTGTAATTAAAAGCATTTGTGCAGCAGTGCTATATACACTGGTTATGGTGCATTCTAATCGTTGTAGGAAGAGCAATTTGAAAAAAAAATAACTGTAGCATGTGTGTGTATGGGATGGGGGGCAGTGTGTGTGTATGGGGAGGCACTGTGTGTCTATTGGGGAGCTATTGTGTGGTGTGGGGTCTGTCAGAGTAGGAGGGCAAATTAATAAATAAATACTTTATTTGTTTTAATTAAAAATAAAATTGATATCCTCCTTCCCTGCTTACCTTTGCCTGGGAGGTGTGGACAATCCCTGGTGGTCCAGTGGGGAAGCCCTGGTGGTCCAATGGTGAGGGTGAACTCTAGCAGCCTCAGGATCTGCTAGAGCGCACTCTCGCGAGATTCTGAGTGTTGCTGTGGTAAAAGCTTGCCAGAGGAGAACCCGGCGGAACTGCAGGTTAGAGCTCCTCCGGGTCCTCTCTCACCCCCTACCCTGCCGGGTGTCAGCAAAGTGCTAGCGGGCCGGAGAGGGAGATCTCTGATCTCCTCTCCGATCCTGCAGAGCCAGAGGGGAGAGCACAGTTCCCAGTGCTATTATCAAGGCACCGGGAAAATAACTTGCGACTCCCATGTGTCCCTGGAGCGCCATGGCACACAGTTTGGGAACCACTGCTTTAGACACAACAGGGTAATTCCTAAATCCTGGACTGATACTGGTACTTGGGGACTGGGTTGGGAACCACTATGATAAATGATAATTTAAGCTCCAAACTTCATATTCCATAATTCCAACCAAGGAACATGCAAACCAGTACAAAAAAAAAGGCACATGCATACATCCCAGCATTGGAATGTATGAAAGCAGAACAGAATGTGGGCGTTCGTAGAGGGTCATGCCAGTGATGCCACTTGCATAAGTGGCAAGCTATAAATATCCAAAATAGCTGTCCCTGCCAAGAAAGGAGACTGTCGCCCTTAAAGAAGGGGCATATCAGCCAGATGTATAGTGAATACACACCAGGCGGACTGACAGCCTCCCTGCCTGGACCCATTTAGGGCAGTCTATCCAGAGAGTGCTGCTGTAGCACTGTCTAAAGATGCAGTCATGATGTTTTTACTTGGAACAGTTCCTTGGGCAAGGATCCTGTCACTTTTCATTGCAATCATCCATCCAACTAACTTGTTAGCAGAGGGTGGCTGTTACGAGAAATGGCAGGAGATTTTACTAGAGAACATTTGTGAATGGCTATATCTAAAGCAGTTCAGTTAGGTGCTTATATAACCTTGTCACAAACAGCTACCTATACAGTGATGCACTCTGTTCAGGGCCAGATTAACATAGGGGCTGATGGAGCTGCAGCTCCAGACCCAGGCCCAGGCCCATGGAATAGGCCCATTGATTTAAAAAAAAAATATATATATATATATTTTTTTTTTTTACATTTTTTTTTCACACACTACTCTTAGGGATTCCACCTGGCTTTTATTTTATTGGCACAGCCAGTATTTGAGGCTGCCTGACTGGTGCCAATATTGCAGTGATACTGCCAATACAAATGCTGGTATTTTTCTCAGTATAAACAAGAGATTACTATGCAATACCAGCACTGACCAGTAGGGGTCGCTGTATGTGGAGACAGGCAGAGATAGGAAGTTCCAGCATATCCCTCCCTGCCTATCTATACTCACTGATCTGCAGGGGTGCAGCTACAGAGAGTCCAGACAGCATCTCCCACCCTGCAGAGACAGCCTTCAGCTCAGGGAAGTAAGGGATGGGGGGAAAGGCTGCAAGGAGACATACACTGAGACACTAAGGGACATTGGGAGACATGACACAGACACATGAGGACACAGTGTCCCCATGTCTCCCAGCCAGTGTCCCTGGTGTCTCAGTGCCCCCAAGTCTCCCAGTGACCCCTAGTCTCCCAGTGCCCCCAGTCTGCCAGTGTCTCACTGTCCCCGTGTCTCCTAGTGCCTCCATGTCTCTCAGTGCCTCAAGTGTCACAATGTCCCCATGTCTCCAAGCTAGTGTCCCTAGTGTCTGTGGTCCTGGTGTCTCAGTGTCCCCATGTCTCCCAGTGCCCCCATGTCTGAATGTCCCCATGACAGTGTCTCTAGTGTCTGTGTCCCTGGTGTCTGTGTCCCCATGTCTTCAAGTGTCCCCTATTTTCCCATTGTCCCCATGTGTCCCAGCCAGAGTCCCCTAGTCTCCCAGTGTCACTGGTGTCTCAGTGTCCCTAGGTCTCCCCGTGTCCCCAGGTCTCCCCTTCTTCCTAGTGTCCTAGTGACATGGGGACCCTGGACTACATGGGGACACAGGGAAACATGGGGCATTGAGACACTGTGATACATAGGATCACTGGGAGACCTGGGGACATGACACTAGGGGACACTGGGAGACATGGGGCACTGAGACAATGATACATAGGAACACTGAGACCTGGAGTAATCGACACATGGGGTCACTGAGTCGTGAGGGGACTGGGAGACATGGGGGCACTGGGAGGAATCCATCTAAACCGCAGAATCAAACTAAGTATTTTTTTGGTGATTTTACTGCATTTTCTCTTATGTCACTTCTTGTGATTTACATCATGTGATGTCACCCATTCATATTTAATTATGCAAATTAGTAAGGCCAGTATGTTTTTCCAAGAAAGGTGGCAACCCTAACGACTTTTCACATACTCTTAAGTATGGAAACTTAAGAGGGATGCATGGGAACAAAACTTGTGTGGACTGGCTGACAATGAATATAGTTAAAGGGACACTATAGTCACCAGAACAACTACAGCTTATCATTACTGTCAGGCTTTTTGCTGTAAACACTGTCTTTTCAGAGAAAATGCAGTCTTTACATTACATCCTAGTGATAACCTCACTGGCCACTCCTTAGATGACTGTTAGAGATCCTTCCTGGGTCATAGCTGCCTAAAATGCATCCAAACATTCAGTATCTCCTCCCTCTGCATGCAGACACTGAACTTTCCTCAGAGATTCATTAATTCAATTCATCTATATAAGGAGATGCTGATTGGCCAGGGCTGTGTTTGAATCATGCTGGCTCTGACCCTGATCTGCCTCTTTGTCAGTCTCAGACAATCCTATGGGGAAGCACTGTGATTGGATCAGGCCACCACTTCTAATGATGTCAGCAGACTGCTTGTTTTATGAGTCTAACAGCATGCAGAGTTACAGCTTCAGGCTTGAATATAGTAAGATTTTGCTATATTTATGGAGGCATGAGGGGCCCAGGGGGGCTAGATGGTGGTGTTAACACTATAGGGTCATGAATTCATGTTTGTGTTCCTGACCCTACAGCACAGGGTACCTAGAGCATTTGGCGGGCGGATCCAGTGCAACCCCCAAAAAAAAACCTGTAAAAAATGTTAAAGGTTTTATTTATTTTATTTTTACAATTTGTAAACTTTGCAAAACCGCTGTCAGCCCCTCCTACAAAACCCTTGTCCTGCCCTGCCCCTCCTACAAAACCTCTGTCCTGCCCCTTCTACAAATCCTGTACTGCCCCGTCTACAAAACCCCCGCAACCCCCTTCCACAAATTCCCTGCTTATCCCCCCTTATAAAGACTCCTGTCCCAATACAAAACCCCCACCCCCTTCTACAAAATCCCTGCAGCCACACACACACATTTACAGGCAGACAGTCACACACTCAGTTACAGACACAGTCACACACTCAGTTACAGACAGACAGTCACACACTCAGTTACAGGCAGTCACACACAGTCACAGGCAGACAGTCACACATACACATTTCCTCCGTGCGGCCAGTTTATCAGCTGTTTGCTTGAGTGAGCTGTACTGGCCGCACGGCACCCTAACTACCATGGGACACTGTGCGGCCACAGCTCACACAGCCCCCTCCAGCCAGGGCCGGTACAAGGATTTTTGCCGCCCAAGGCAAAAGTAAAGTTTGCCGCCCCCATGTGACATCACAATGCCCCAGCCATATGATTTGCCATGTTAACTAACGCCAGTGCTGCAGTGCCGCCGTGTTTACATTAAAAGGCCTGCAGGGACAGGCTATAGACACCAGAACCACTACATTAAGCTGAAGTGGTTCTGGGGACTATAGTGTTTCTTTAATGTGAGGTAAATTAGAGCTTAGTGCCACGAATAATATACTAGATTGCCTACTTACAACCAGATGAGGATGATGATGGGCTCTAGCTGCAGTCTGGCTCCACTGGTCTGGTGCAGAACAGGCTCTCTGGAGGCGGTTTGTAACTGTGGTCACAAAAATCAATGTTCTGGGAGAACGGGAAGCAGCTCCATTTTTTGGAGGTCCTTTACACAGCTCAAGGTCTGGGTCCCAGGGTCCACCTTCATGTTCCACCAATGAGTTTGTTCACAGGGGGTGGAGTGTGTAGGGGATGTCCTGATATGTGTGTAAGGAATGCATTGTGTGAAATTGTGTTTGTATGTGTAAGGACTGCAAGGTGTGTATCTGTGTATGTATGGGATGCATTGAATGTGTGTAAGGGGTGCACTGAGTGTGTGTAATGAATGCATTGTGTGTTTCTGTGTGTGTAAGGGATGCATTGTGTGTAACGGTTGCATTGCTTGTGTATGTGTGTCTGTGTGTTTTTCTGTGTGCAAGGGATGCATTGTGTGTATGTGATGAATGTCAATCTCTCCTCCCGCTCCAATTTCCTTCTCCTCCTCCCAATTTCTCTTTCTCACCCCCCTCCTAATTTCTCTCTCACCCCCACTCCTATTTTCTCTCACCCCCCCTCCTTTCTCTCTCACCCACCTTCTTTTTCTTTCTCACCCATTCCCCCTTTTCTCTCTCACCCCCCTTATTTCTCTCACCCCCCCTTATCTCTCTTTCTCACCCCCCCTTATTTCTCTTTCTCACCCCCTTATTTCTCTTTCCCTTCTCTCCTTTCTCCCCCCCCCTACCTCCCTGTAGCGTGGCGAGCCCTGTATGGTCCGCGGGTACAGGGAGCATTTCCTGTACCGGCCGGACTACGGGTACAGGAGACAGCTGCTCTCTGTACCCGCGGACCATGCTGCAGTGAGGGAGCTGACAGGAGCGCTCCCTCCTGTCAGCCTCTCCTCAGGCTGCGCCCGGGCGGTGCGGTCCGCCCTCATGGAAGCACCGCCCGGGCAAAGCTGCAGCCGCCTGAGGCTCTTCACAGAGCGCTCGGGCAGCTGCAGCATGGGGGGGGGGGGCGGCGGGGGGCTGGCCATGGCACCCCCCATCCTGCTGGCACCCGGGGCGGACCGCCCCCCCCGCACCCCCTTTAGTACGCCACTGCCCTACAGTGATCCTTTAAGGTAATGCTGACTCTGGTCTCTCTAACACTGTGGCATGTTCCCTTTCTTCTACACTCACTACATCCAGCTTTTCTCTGTCCCAGACTATATACCAGGAGCTTCTGCCTGCTAGTAAGAAGGTAAGGAGACAAATGGACCAGCGAGTGCTAGGGGACAGTCCTTAGAAAGCGTTGAGTGAGCGCATCATTAGATGCATTTATGCCAAGCTCAGGGTGCTGTCTGAATAGTATGCCCTTAGTTGGCCAGCTGCATGATTGGCAGGCAGCTTGACATGCATTCATGCCAGGCTGGCCTTCTAATTCTTTGAGCAGACATGTCCTCTTTTTGGGCATGTTCGCCCCTTTTGGCAGGTTACGTGATTTGTGTCAGTGGCACACCCTTTTACCATGCCCATTGACTTCCTGCTTGACTGGACACTGCTGTTAGGGGGTATGGATTTACTTGAAAGATGAAAACATAAATTAGAGAGAGATTAGCATAGGGTATGTGTTTTCTTATGGCTGTTGTTTTCTTTCTCTCCAGCACCATCTCCATCAGATACATGACGCTTGGGAGTGTTTTACTGTTTTTGGTCGATTTGATTCTGTAATTAGGCCCGTCATAATTGTCAGCACCAGGCCCACTGGGCTCTTAATCTGGCCCTGACTCTGTTACATATCCCTACTCATCCAATCACGTACCTTTACCAATCCACCCATCATATACTGTCACTTACCCCAACAACAATCCAACCACAGTTATAGTCACACCACAGAGTCACCTCAGCAATTCTAAAATCAACCCAATTCCAAACACTGCACAAGAACAAGCCTTGCACACAAGCTTAAAAACACATACTATGCACAGGAGCATATACAAATCAACTACATGCATCACACACAGGTTACATGCACATATTTATAAGGAATCCCTACTTTTAGGCTGGTTGCTCATTGTAGGAAATCTAGTATCCAAATATCTCAATAAGTACAGCTTCCCATCACTTGTCCACTACATTTCTTAGGTGCGTGTGACCTATGTGTATGTGGCCTACATTCCATTCCCAATATGGAAAAAACAATACGGAAAATGTGGTCCACAAACATCTGCAGTACTGAGGTTAGCTATTATTTTTGAATGAGATTTTTGTGGCTTTTTCCTGGCTTAGTATAAGCTTAAGCTTTTGCAGCACTATGATTAATCTATATTAATCTTCCATGGTTAATCATTACTAGTGGCTATGTAGTCACCATAGATGTCTGGTGACTACATTTCCCAGGATGCTTATTCACCCCTAATAGGATATGAAAAGGGATGATAAGTGCAGACATATAAAAGGGGTGTGAAAAGGGAGAATAAATTACCCACACTCATAAGGGACACCAAAACATTCCTACACTATGGTGTTACTGAGTCATGGCCACTCTCTAATCCATCATCCCTCTATCTTTTATCTAATCATCTATTCATCCTTTTTTAAAGCATTATCTCCAAAGAGCCTTTGAAGGGGGGAGGGGCGGGGTTGTTCATTTTTGTTCAACAGATTATGTAGCAGTTATGTAGCAGTTATCTTGAGATATAATGTACAATTATTTTTTTGTAGAGGATTGCACTTCTTCTATGAATTATATAATGCTGCAGTGCTAAAATATGCAGAACCAAAATATCATCCATTATCCCGATTTGCTATAAATATTTGTTTAGAACTACAAGTACTGTGAAGAAGGTTGTTGAAGATCTTTTGCTTGAGGGTGTATTCAATTCAATGTATCCAACTCTGTTTTTTTTAGAATACAATAAGAGCTGGTACATCTTGTAGCATTTTAATACTGACTGCATGTTTTTATTTACGCACACACGTGTATATGTGTGTGGACAGCTAATATATATAGCTATAAATATCTACGTGTAAATTAAAAAATGAAATTAGTATCACACAATACCTTTTTTTTTACCAAACTAACAGCATTTTGGAATGACAAGCCTTTAGGAGATCTTACCATTCTCAAGTCTAAACCATTTCTGAGGAGCATGACACATATATATATATATATATATATATATATATTTAAAGGAAAGCTGCATTTTTTTCCCCAACACTTTTAAGTGCAAAATATCCAGATCAGTGGATCTGTGAGCAGCTAATGAACTGTTACTGTGAGGTCGCAATATGTGTTTTCCTTTGTGAAACTTCTGGCTGCTGCTCCACAAGCTGGAATCTCATCCATGTGGTTCTTAAATAGCTAACCAAACAACCCAAGATAGATGTTTCTCCATAATGCGAATCATGTCCTAGACTGGGTGAGTAGAAGTAAATCCCAATTAAGGACTAGATACAAATGATAAACTTGAAGCAAAACTGTCTTCTTATCTGCCAGTGGTAATTTCTCAATCATCCAACAAAGGTGGATGCTGTTGACGCATTTACCAAGGTGAGTAGTGCGGTGGAGATAAATATTAAAAACATATTTTCTCCCATAGCACTTCTGTGTCCAGGGCAACTTCATTGCATCCTAATGCTCTTGTTACTCTCATATGTTCTTGAGTATCTGCTGAGGAATGGAGTATATATGAGCATATGCTTCCGTAACATTTTGTTATTTTTTTTATTTATTGTAAAATGTATCTCTTTTATAATATTGTAAAGTGCTGTGGAATAAGTTGACACTATATAAATACAAATAATAATAATGTTTGGGCATTTCATACAAGGTTGCATGCATGCATCCTCATGTCGTTTGCACTGCATCATGGGAGTTAAGCTAATTCACATGGTATGCTCTACCTGTCACAACTCCACTGATGTAAACGAAGAAACAAAGGCAAGAAAATATATAGAGTAACACCCTCAAAAGTACACTCGCAGGAATTTCTTTCGATGAGCACCCTTCACAAATCCAACACTGATGATCAGACAAATCTTCCTTTGAAACTTGGCAGCATAAGGAAGATATTAATAAGCATTGTACACACTGTATGGTAAATAAAAGCAAACTCCACTTTATTCACTTATGTTTAAAAACCTGCAGATAAGCGTATCAAATGGAAAAGTCATGTAGGATCCCTGTTCTGTAGCAATGTGGTCCATCAAGTTCCCCCACTGACACGTGACAGTAGTCATTTAACAATGGTAACTCAATAGTTGATTTCCTATTGACACCTTTGGGAAGATTGCTTTTCGAATACTATCCTTATCTCTTATGATAAAATTTATCTCCATGTTGGAAAACAGGTTTCTCTGATAGGTCTTTCAAGGAATCCTGATGTTTCCAAGACTTATGTGGTGGGGTTTTTTTTTGTGGCAACAGGTGAGAGGTGATAAGGTCTATGTCTCGAAAACCTATAAATATAAAATAATATATAAAATATAACATAATAAAGCATGTTTTGTGGTCTTAAAACAACAATCAATTAAATGTCACATTGTACAACTATTGGGAATGAGAAAAATAAAAAAGGAAATAGTAGAAAAGCATAGGGCAAAGTGGAAAAGCAGAAGAAAAGTGTAAAGTACATAAAAAATAAAAATACATTTTTTAAAAAGCAACAAAAAAATCCAGAATGCCTAAACTTTTTTAAAAAAAAACATTCTAAAAGAAATAAAAAAAAATATGCCTTTTCTAGGCAATACAAATATATGACAGGGCTGTATTGTGTTCTGGGAAAGCAAACATACATTACAGATCGGTGAAACAAAAACAAGCAACGTTCTGTAAAATTTAAAACTGGTTGTACTTCTTCTTCAGAACAAACAAGGGACATGGGCCACATTGAGAAGAGATTCCAAAATTCGAGTCTGGAGTTGCAGAATTGGGACAAGTCTGAACACAGCAAATATTCTTTGCTATTGTTCAATGGGAACTGCATGGAGAAAGCTGCATGATTTAACTATTTCAATTCCTAATTTTTCACAAACACAGACGCAGCATTGTCGACTCTGTAGAGGTTTGCTCTAGCTCCTGTCTCAGGCAAAATTAACTAAGGTCCAGGACAGATAAAAGACAGGAAAATTAGTTAATGATTTCTGTATCTCCCTGCGAGAACAGTCAATGAAAGTGTTAAGGGAGAGATTGGTTCCCAAGCCCTGCCCTCCTGCTTTCCAATCACTGACATCATACAGAGAGAGAGAGGGGGAGGGAGAGGAGTCTATCTGCCTGAGACACAGAGGAACAGGCAGGCAGGAACAGGGGCTGAGAGACACATAGACTGAAAAAGAGAGTGTAAAGTAGTCAAGCAGCAGAGCAGTTCAGGAAAGGACTACAGGCTGCAATCTAGTCTACCACATGAGCAAAGAGACTGCATGAGCTCTGCGAGCAAGCTCACATCTGGCCACAGCTTTTGCAGAATCAAGAAAACCAAATGTTCTTTCACTTGGGGATCCAGAGACGCAAAGTCCCCAGTGCCTGAAAAAACGGGTGACCTCCTGAAAATACAGAATTCGAAAAAGAAAGACTCTGCGAAACT